CGCAAGATAGAATAGAAATTATACATTTTAATTTGTGCTTCAACAATAAAAACTCATAGAACTAACAGTGGTATCCACACAACTGTTTAATTGCGTGACATCTATTGGCAGAAACTAGGATTACTAAGATACAAGACAAGCTAGATGCTGAAGCTATAGGAGGATTCAAACTAGTGTTCTTTAGTATAGTAACCTATGGAGTATTCACCTAAAAAAAAAGAATATGTCTCCTGTTACTTCACTGTCACCCGGTGACACAAACACCTGATATTTGAATTGATTAGCTATAATCTAATCATGAGGTTGCGCGCACGTGCTGAGATCTGTCTTATTTACGAGGCTGCTAGGCATACAGACATACTTGCGACCAGACGTAATCTGACCAGTAACCCAAGAATACGATAACACAACACAATTATAACAGATTTCTCGCCTGTCTGGGTTGGCGTGTATCTTAACACCAGTTTCCACGTGAGTCAGCCGTAGTTTCTTTTTAATTATCAAATGTGCGCATTGTACAGCACAGATGCGTATTACTTCACAATGTTAACAAACCACACGCATGTAGTTAATTACTCCTGTCTCAATCAGAACTAGCTGAAGCAAATACCAGTTGATTTAATTGATTAGTCCAAAGTAATTTGCCTAACTATTTTGGTAATCTGAGAATTTTTGCATTCTAACCCCCCATCTTCTTAAGGTGAGGATGTTGTGCTGTTCTTTGCCGATACAGTATCAATAGTAATACTGTCCTAAGGGTCGACTGTTTTGGACAAATTCAATTTATAAAGCAAGATCAGAACCCTATTGGACTACAAGTTATCATTATAAACAGAATATCTGGCAAATCTAAGACTTCTGGTCGAGTTGTATTTAATTATATTGATCCGTTGACTAACTCGGTGTATTTGTTATTACATCACCTGGTCAATATCACAACACTATTCCATCAATAATACCTAAAACGGTTTTTTTATTTCTTATAGTATTACCAGCCCCGTAGCGGCAGAACCTCACTATCTCCATGATCATCTCTGGCGACGGAATATCTGTATGATTCTGAGTCCATACTGAATTTCTCCTGTAAAGTCTATCAGCATTGCAACACCGCTCACTACATAAATGCATCTACTCTGTGTGCTCACTCTTGACCACAGTTGCTCTTAGCAAAATGTTAATGCTTAAACAACTTGTTCACCTATATAAATGGTCTACTGTTGATCACGTTGTCCTCACACTTCGCCACCGCCCTTTTGTTCTGGAGGTCATGGGGCGTGGTTACACAACTGCGGGTGATTCAAGTCAAAACACAATCTGTCCCAATTTCTAACATAGACCTTCATATATAGCTCACAAGCCACCAATGCGAGAGCGCAAACCAACAATATAATATCATTGTGCCTATTTTAGTCCAGATATTGCAACGGTACGTGTGACTTCATGCATGGCGGCGATGGGCACAGTAATCTCGGCTCTTCATATGAACAAGGTATCCATGACGAGGATTCTACTCAGGGGAGAGATTTAGCTGGGTGGAATCCGTAACAACGATTATAGCTGCTCTAAACTGTGGCGTTCAAGAGATAGGTGACAATCAAAAGATAGTAAAAATATAGTGTAGTCATTAAAACACCACTGTAAAATAATATACAATCAAGAGTCCTATATATATTCCCAATACAACTGGAGTGAATTCGTTAATGGAGTAAGGCATAGATATAAGACTCTACCTCCAATTGCCTAGCTCTACCAAGTATTTCGAAATAGAGGAGGCTGAATTGCTCTCCTAAAATACATGCAAGACACGCGTACTGACTTACTGCAAATGTATCTGTTTACCCCCAGAGCCGATAAGGGTCCCATCCAGTTCAATTAAATTATCTTAATACTAGCCATCGTTGTGTCAGGCAAGGATACCTAGTTCCGACATATAGAGACCGGACTTGAGATTAATTGCCCCGCTCATCCTCAAGATATTATCAAAAGACGCTAAGTTCGACGCACAAACATGTGTGTCAATGTAGGACATAAGAAATAAGCTAGTTAGGTTGTTCAACCATATGTAAGAAAAGCCTATATATATATGAAATATGCATTAGAAGAGTTTCCTCTCACATGTTTGTTAAAGACTTTTCCTCATAGTCCTCTCTGTTGTGTTTGTCTGCCAAATACAAAGCCAGAATACACTGAAAGTGCTTCAGTTGTTTATTTGAAGCTGTGGTAAAGAGGCGGGTACGATACAGAGTGACAGTACTCGCCTAGTTCAGCGAGCGAGGCACTCCCTCAGCGTTTGAACAGGATACGGTGAGATGACACTACTGAAAAATGCAGCAAAAAAAAAAAAAAAAAAAAACAATATAACAGTGAACAACATGTTTGAGGCCGTAGATTGTCTATTACACCACTTAATTGCTTACCATGGCCAGGGAATAACTTGTTTCGATTGGCCCTTGGTTTTATTATATTTTTTTATATAAATAATCTGGTCAACACTGCTGGTATCAATCTACACCATTTATTGTGCAGTAGATTTTAAACTAGTGAATCGGCCATCACACAGAATACAAAGATACATTGTCTTTGGAAAAATGGAGAAAATTCATCACTATACAAGTTAAATTATTACGCTTATACGTCATGGAATATATAGTATGATATTAATATTCAAAACAAGTGGGTGGGAGTAATGTTTTACCTTTCTCTCTCTGTTTTGACCTTCTCTCTCACTCTTTCTCTCCAGATCTCTGGATTTAGGGCGTCCTAAAAGCTTGTAAACATGTAGTTAGTTTGACTGTAAATATTTACACAGCTCACTGGTCGTCTAGATAAAAAAACAACATCCTTTCAGTAGAAGGAGATTCTCTCCAACATGTATGTATTGAAATGCACATGTATGCCTCCCTTGTTTTTCAGAGCAGCAAAAGTTGGTGTGAGCGTGATCGCCCTGATGGAGCCTCTCCCGCCACTCAGCCTGTCACATCGGCCTGTCAGGTAACCACCTGTTCCCCTGCCTCTGATGGAGTGGTGTGGAGATGGTGAGTCCTCTCGAGATGTATATTTATTTTAAATTGACATTCCTCACAAACAGTGGGAGGTTGCTATAATTATTTTTCGACCTGTACATCATGGAACTAAGCCTGGTGCAGACGGCCATGAACTGAGAAAGGTTTGATGAGGCTATTAAACTGCGTGGAGGGTGAGAGCATTTTTTTTTCATGTATGATAAATATTCAAATATAAATTCAAAATTGCCTTAATGTGTGCAACAAAGTTTGTAGGTCTCTTGTAAAGGTATCATCCATTCATTGTATTTTAATCAGGCAACATGATTTAATTTCTTGTTTTTTTCTGTGCAAATATAAAAAAAGAAGCTAAAATAAAAGATTTTCCTTGCAGGAGTTGAGAAAATGGACAATCTACAAGCTCTTGACACCAGAAACCTGCCCAGTCTAAGGTGAACACACCCACACACACACACGACACACACATCACCGTTTTAGCCCTAACACCATGTAAAAACTGTTACAAAAGTTAAATCTGATTGAGCTTATAAATATCTCACTCTGTTCCCTCCAGAGCAATTTTCCTTATGGCTATCCGAACGGGGCCTCCGGCTGCAAGGGGGGGGGAAAAAAATTGAACGCAAGCGGCGAGGTCTGCAGTGAGGTTAGCGCTCGCACATTGACACAAAGTCACGCTGTCCACGATGGCATTTTGAAGATTGCCACAGGAGCGTGAGGGCTTCTACCTCTACATGTTTACCACCTGGGAGTTTTAACAACCCGTGTGAGACTTGAGGAGGAAACCGTTCAAAGCTGAACACCTGTCTGTCTGCAGGTTTTTAGATGGAATGGCAACAGTGTGCGGGGTGGACGGGCCAAGGGGGCTCACTGCTGGGGACAAAACGGTGAGCAACAGGACACTTTGATTTCTATGATATGAACAGTAATCATAAGAGTACTCCAACAGACAGATAAACGTAGCTACTATTAGACAATATGACAACATGTACTATGAGACAGCATTTACATTGTGTTAAGGATCCCCGTCATATCCCAGAGTGTATTAGCCATCGAAGGAAATGTAGAAAATCTATATGCAGTTATCATTTCTGGGTCAATGTGATAATGTGCCAGCTATTTAGTTTGCTAGATTAGAGAAAACAGACATTTCTGTCCAATTATAACATCCATTATAATATTTTCTCAATTGATCTTTCATAAAATGTATTATATTATATCATATATCACAAATTATGTTGTTATATACCTAATTATCTATACTGTGATTTTACAGGATTTTATCAACACGACCCAAACTGCATCTTACAGTTCCCACAATGCAACTCAATTTCTTCTTTTCTTAGACCTTCCCACCCACATATTTCTAATTCAAGGGCCCCAGTTTGTAATACAGATGGTACAGAGGGTGATGAGTAATTTCTCAGAGTGCCTCTTTAATTGACTTTTAATTTCTGTTTCATGTCCTCAGAACGCTTCCAAACAAGCACATGGAGAAGATTGTGGAAACCATCGCCAAACTCAACATCTCAGCTCTGCTTGTCATTGGAGGGTTTGAGGTAGAGTTCAAGACACAACCCTTCAAAGATCCAGAGCTGACTTGCTTGTATATTAATTTACAGTGTCAATGTTACATCAAAGAGGTCTTCAATCTTCCTCTTGGTGACTTTCAAAGGGGTACGAAGGTGTGCTGCAGCTGTTTGAAGCCCGGAGTCGCTATGATGAGCTCTGCATCCCCATGTGTGTAATCCCTGCTACCATCAGCAACAACGTCCCTGGAACTGACTTCAGCCTGGGAGCAGACACCGCTGTCAATGCTGCCATGGAGGTAACGCTGAGCAGATGGCAAATTAACAGTGTCACTTTGATGTTTCAGGATTAACATGAATACGGACTGAACCGAGCCTAAGATAGACTTTGAACTCTGCATATTTAGAACAGGACTGACAGCGAGTATTCAGGGATTTAGTTTTTATATTAAGCACCTCACCTGGAAAAAACACATGAACAACACACCAGCAGTGGTTTATCTGTATACAGTACTGTTGAGGGTTAATTCGGAGTTAAAGTTGACTCTCTCCACTTCCAGACGCAGACTTTTGATCTTTACCCACCCTTCTTCAATTACCACTGTCCCCTTTCACGCTGCCATTTCGATTTTTTACTCTCCAGGGCTGCGACAAGATCAAGCAGTCTGCCACTGGGACCAAAAGACGAGTGTTTGTGGTGGAGACTATGGGTGGATTCTGTGGCTATCTGGCAACCTCCACTGGAATAGCCGTCGGTGCTGACGCAGCATACATCTTTGAAGACCCTTTCAACATCCACGACCTCAAGGTACGACCAAAAAACAAACCTCTGGTGCTTCTTTTCTTTTGTCTATGATGTTTACAGCTTTGTGTTTCTTTAATAATCTGGCCTTTTGACAGACCAATGTGGACCATCTAACTGAGAAGATGAAGAAGGACATCCAGCGGGGGCTTGTATTGAGGTACGTATCAATATCACAGTACAGTGGTACAGGTTCACTGCTAACAAATACTAGACACCGCTGAGTATGATGGGATTGTTTTTAGTTTGCAGTCATAGATCAAACAATTGGACAAACTGGGAATTTTGACCAGATTATGAAGCTACATATTTGGGTTGGATGTCAAAGTCAGTAGGACTTTTGGTGAACGGACCGACTTTGCTACAATAAAATACAAAAAATCTTAACTATTTGATGTCAGCAAAAAATTTAAAGGACGTACTACACATATTCCCTTGTTGGTTGTTTTCTCTGTCATAACAGGAATGAAAAGTGCCATGAAAACTACACTACAGATTTCATCCACAAGCTGTATTCATCAGAGGGGAAGGGCATCTTTGACTGCAGAGTCAATGTGTTGGGACACCTTCAGCAGGTACAGAGCCACCATACAAGATCCATCGACTCAGTAAAACACCGCTTATCTACAGTGAAGAGACAGTCTTGCATTATATACTCAGCTTATGTGTTTGTGCTTTAGGGAGGGGCACCTTCTCCCTTTGATAGAAACTTTGGCACCAAGTTGGGCGTGCGTGCTGTCCAGTGGATTTCAGAGCGACTGACTGAAAACTTCCGACAAGGTAGACTTACTGTGAAAAGCCACAGTGAACGTAAATAAACTGCTCAGAAATCCAAAGTCAAACCAGAGTGATGTTACGATTACACCACTTTTTTTTCCCCACCAGATCGCGTGTTCGCCAACTCCCCAGAAACAGCCTGTGTGCTCGGCCTCAACAGGAAGGTCATCGCTTTCAGCCCAGTCACTGACCTGAAGGCTGAGACCGATTTTGAGTAAGAAAATGTAGTTTTCATCCCAAGTGTTCATTATTATTAACATTAACGTCTCAATAACACGTGAATGACGTCTTTGTTTTTCAGGCACCGGATGCCGAAGGTCCAGTGGTGGTTTAAACTTCGGCCGATGTTAAAAATGTTGGCCAAGTACCAAACCAGCTTCTGTGAATACGTCCCAGGAGAGATTGAACATGTGACGCGACGCTCCATCAGCATCGACTCTGGGTTCTAGGCTCTCTGAAACTACAGTATATTCTCTGCACTTTTTAACCCTTATCTGCCCCTCCTTTGTTTCTACAGACTATACTTTAATACTTTAAGAATGATTTTCAATCTGCTGCTATGTGTGTTTACAGGACTGAAGTCTTTTTAAAGCCAATGATGATCTCAGTCAGTTGTAAGCGTCATAGTTGCTATAGTATGTTAAAGAATGTGAAAATGTACTTCAAGTATTCATTTATTTTTTATGAACGGGGCATTCAATACAGATCCTTGTGTATTCCTTGTGCCAACCTTTGTATAGTCAAATCACTCATAAAAAGACAACCAGATTCCCCATGAGGCGAAACATTTGAATTTACTACTGAATGTTATATAAAACAGATTTTATGCGGTGTGATTATGAAAAGTTTGCTTCCAAAATCACATACAGGTGAAATGCTCTAAGACAAATACTGAGCCAGAAATAATCTGATCAGCAGCATTAAGTAAAAGAGGTGTGTATATCCATGTTGTAACATGCTTCGTTAGCTAAAAATAAGAGCCACTACATTTTGGAGCTCCTATAATTTGCACAAAAATGTAAGTTTGAATGCTCCAGTGGTTGATTTGACTTCTGGTTCATGTTTAACTCGCTTAATGTCAGAATGTGACTCATGGGACCAGTGAGATGGTAGTTTCCTTTTATTTAAACACTGTGTAGGACTGAAACACTGCATCTGTTATTAATTAATGCAAACTCAAGGAATCACAAAACATTAGTGCAGTTTATAACACAACAACACTGTGTAATAAAGTTTACAGCTACTGTTCTTACAACAGAGAATTATGAACGTATGCTGTGTATTATTTTCATACTGTTATATCTACAATAAAATGTTATACATATGTTAATTGTAGCGTGAATAGCTATTGAAATAAGATAAATAAATACCGTTTAACAGAATAAACTGACAAATGTATTAAAAAAGTCCTACATGACAAACTTCTTCTAGCTTTTTAACTGCTGAAGTTTTATAACGGTGTTCAACTATGACCCCGTTCCTAAGATATTTATCATGAACCCACTTTATGAGAAAATTACAGAAGAAAATAGGTAAAACACAAACTGGTCTATTATTATTCAGCATTTCAGATCTTTTTCTGATTCCTTAAAAGTTGAATGAAAATGGAAAATCATCCCTGGCATTATCTTTGTTAGTTGTAGGAGGGCTCTTGGCGTTGAAGGCGAACTCAAAGTCTTCACTTTGCTCTGGTTGGCCAAACAGGAACTCGGCTGCAAAATCATAAACAAGCCTGTAGTTCAAAGCAGGTGACACACACACAAATGTAAAGAGATCTGATGTGATACTTACAGGTTGAAGACTTGGATTCTGTGTTTTTCTGAAAAGAGATGAATATAGTTTGGTATTTTTATACTAGTTATACTGTCTAAAATATAGGTGTAGTAAGAAATATAGTACCTTCTCGCTGAAAAAAGAGCCACTGAAAGCGAAAGATGAGTCCTGTAAAAAAAAAACTTTTAATTCCATAACTAAGAAACCATTTTTTCTGTCAAAACACTTATTTCTTTTGGTCACTCCTTGCCTCGTCCTGTGACGAGCCCACGTCAAATCCAAATCCAGAGAAGCCTGGGGTGCTAGGATCGGCGTTCAGAGAGAATAGGAAAGCTGGAGATTTGGTATCAGAGGTCCCTTGATGTGGGGAGCTGCCAGGGCTGAGGCTGAAACGGCAACATCAAAACATAGTTCTCAGAAGCTGTCAGTGACAGTGAGTCCAAGTGTTAGACAACTCAGACAAGGCCTTACTTAAATGGGAATGTTGCAGGCACAGCTTTCACTGTTGCTGGGGAGGACTCAGGATTAATCTCTTGAGATGATGACTGAGGAAAAGCAGCAAGTTCCTCGTTGTCCTCTTTGCTTGGTGGCTGCTCTTCTTCTATAGTTATTCTTTCCTCCACTGTCTCCTCAATGTCTGAGACAACAGACTGCTGGTCCTATACAGAAAACACCTTGAGTGTGAGAGCATTTTCAAGAGTGGATCCTATGACACTGCATCCAATGTGGACCATAAGGGCACTGTGTCATTATTAATAATATGATTCATATGAAAAAACCCTGCAATATCTCTTCTCAGAGAAAATGTAGAAACTATAATATAATAAACATTCGAACGACCTTGCAGTGAAGCATTTGTATTGCCTGTCCAATTAAAACTGTTCTAATCAGTAACCTGATATTAATTCTAGTAAGAGATGCTGCTTTTACAGATATAATACGTTCATACTGTGAGAGACATAAAAGAGTACTCCAGTGAATTCATATTTCAGTTCCATAAAGTTGGAAAACTTGTGAAAGACAAATTTTTAAAAAAAGAGGCAAAAACATCCGGACTTTCTGTCCCTAGTATGGGTCCAACTCCAAAAACACTCTATCCTACATTTCCCAGAATCCAACTAAAGCGTATTTTTCATTGGACCATCCAAGTCTGGTAAATGTCCTGGTATTTCAAACCCCATGGTTTAACTAGGTTTAGTTTTTCAGACTTAAAAACAGACTGACTCCACTGTTTAGGGGTGAATACATTAGTGTCAGTGGTGGAGATCTCACAGCCAGCACCTGAAAGATACAGTACACCAGACAATATACAAGCAGGTGTAAGGCTTTTGGTAAACTGGAATTTTAAGTGTTCATTTTAAGGTCAGTCTAGGTATAGTAGACAAACATGAGACCTGGTCCTCTGGTCCAGTTTCCTGGTCCAGCTCCTCAGTGTGCATCACATCTGGCTGTGTTTGTTCTGAAGACATAAAAATTGATGTAACAGAAACATCCAAACCTTAAAAACCGTGCCACGTGCTGTGTAAAGTGTTCACATTCACTGAAACACATCGGACTTTCTTCTTCTTACCATCCAACGGTTGACAGGACCACAACCCATCGCTTGCTTCTTCTGGGAAAGGACTGCAGGCTTTAGTATCCTGGACATTGTTTTCCTCACTAATCTCTTCAGTATTTGCCTCGACAGAAGTATTATGACCATCCTGCAAGACCTGTGGTGGTTAATGAATAGGACCGAACAGCTTCTGCGTTTCATTATTGCTAGAATTGTGTTTTACAATGCCAGTAGCACTGATGAGTGTATCCTACTACCTTTGTCTGGTTGAGATGAAGAGAGGAGATGTCAATGGAGGAATCCATGTCCTCCTCTGTCGGAGGATCTGGTTGTTTCTCCGGTTCTGTTAGAAGCTGCTGGTCAAAAAAACTAGGAAGACAAGTGGACTCAATCAGAGAAAAACACGAAGTTATTATTCTTTGTTATCTGTAAGATTCAGTGAAAGATACCTGTCTGGTAGTTTCTCAGTGGAGGAGGAATTGACTGCTGGACCTGGTGAGACAGAAACTGAATTAACTGTATATAGAGCTGTAAATAATTCAGATTTACCTGAACAAGTGAGTTTATAAAAAGTGTATTACCAGTGAGATGCTCCACCTCCTTCTGCTTCATTGTTATTTGATCATCACAAGCCTTGATCCTACACTCAATCTCCTCTTTTTCAGCCTGCAGCGCCAGAAGCTTTTGAGCGAGAGGATTTTGACAATAATACTCTTTATGAGAATTGAATATCTTGCGGTAGCTTGCAATTCTCTCCTCGTAGACTTCCCTTGTAACAGACGAAGAACAATTAAAACTTTATGTTTCCGATGGCCCACGAAACATGTATGAAACACAACAGCTAACTGAACCCACATGTCATGGTTGTAGCTGGCTTTTCTGCTCTCCAGTTCCTCTTTCAGCGTCTGCTCATACTGAAGAAGCAGGCTGTTAGTCGCCTTCATCCTAAAGTCACACAGACCACATAATATCCAGACTACACTGCACTGATACGTGAAGATACAATCTGATTATGTATCACACTGATCCATCGTTGGTTTGGCCCGTGTGTTACCCAGTCCTCATACCTTTTAGCATTTGCTTTATTGTGTATCACCGTGTTCTGCTTCATCCTAATTTCTTCCTCAAGTTTCTTTGTATTTCTGTGTTTTGTTTCGATGTAAGACCTCCTCTCAGCAGTGTCAGCTCTCAGACCTGTGGACAAAAAAACACCATTTCATGACACAAAATCTACGGCAAACTGTTTTATTCTTCTTTATTCTATTATTTTATTGTTTTATTCTAAGTCTTTCCGATTTTAAATAACTATTAAGGTTAGATTATTAGGATTAATTGTTGGACTTACCTTTAATTTGTTGGTTGATCTCATTCTTCCTTTGGGAAAGCTCTCGAGTTTGGAGAGCTATAAAATACAAAGGGCGCTTATTTTATTTGAAAAGAATTGTTACCTATATTTTTATTATTACTAGTAGTTATTAGTAGTAGTAAATAAACTTAACACCAAAACTAACTTGTTAGCATCACTTAACATCCGTTAGCCAAGCAGCTAACGCCAAGATCAGCTAAAACTTTACATAATAAACCAACATAAACACAAAAAACATCCAAGTGTAGCTAAACTACAACAAACAACCTACAATAAACCCAATAACCGAGCTCACCAAGCTGAAAGAGGAGGCTGTCAATATTATTAAATGAGATCTGGTCGCCCATTTTAACGCTAGCCTCATTAGCAGCTCCTGCCGTTGTCAAGGAGACACACTTTCGTCCTTTCGACGTAAAATAACGAAAATGTTTTATTTTTATTTATTATTAGCTTTTATTTAATACCTGTTATTTTAAATAGAGAAGTTCAGTGGAAATTAAATGGGAATGTTCTATACTACTACTTATAATAATAATTACTAATAACATTTAATAAAAATACACATATAAGACATATA